ATGGGATAGTCATTAGGCAAGGACTGAAAGGAAACCCATGAACTTTGAGTACAAATTATTCCCTGGGTCGCAGGAGGAAAACCAGTAATTTGCAAAACTCGGTGCTAAAATAACGAATAGCCAACTGGCGTTCTCTGCAGCTTTCTTCACGTTACTGTTAACACTGGCTCTGCAGTTTCTCACATCTCCATGAAATGAGAGATGCTGTCAGAGAACGAGTCCATTCGGAAACACGGGACAGCCTCATGCTCCCTGCTGCCCAGGCTGGCAGCCGCAGTCGCAGTGCTGGTGGACACGAGCCCGATGGCTTCCCACAGCGCTTCTCCAGCCCAAAGGCTGCCAGCGAGGGGCAACGCCACATTCATTAGAGGGACACGAAACTCACGGCATGTCACCAACGCCCCAGTTCCCCCTCTGCCCTCCCGCTGTGCCCTTCCCTTGCTCGGTGCCCAGCTCTGGCAGCCGGCCTCCCGGGACCCCAGCCCCAGAGCCGCCTGGCCCCGCTCCCCGGGGGCGCAGCGGGCACTCACCGTTGTCAAACACGGTGCCTGCCGTGAAGGAGAGCTCCGAGTCGTGTTCTGCCTTGCAGGCGTACAAAGCTCGCGCCTTCCTCAATGGTGAGCTGCAGAAAGAAAGCATTTACTGACATTAAAACCACACTCTGGTCAATACACAAAAGCAGCCCCTTCCTGCTCCTTGTGGGGTCCCTGGGCCCCTGCCCTCGAGGGTTCCAAGGTTGCCACGGGGAGGAGCAAGAAGGACCCCGTGGAGGTGAAACTCTCCTCCGAGAGCTCCAGGCCCAGGGCAGAAGGAGTATGTGGAGGGCTGGCAATGCTTCGTGGGTCCCTGCGGGGAGGTGAGGGCTGCCGGGCAGGCGCTGAGTGGAGGCGGGCAGCAGGGGCCATCAGCGACCCACTGCAGACCAGACCAGGGAGCTGCCAAAGCCCAGCGCCCCCGGAGAGCTCCTTGTCCAATTTCAGGAGGAAGAATTAGCACCTGGGGAAGCGTATTTCAAAATGGAAAAATAACTAAGTCCATGAAGAATTTACTGTGCTTCTTTAGAGACTGTACCTGAAGACAAAAAAGATTTAACAACCATCAGGCTCTACTGGGAAGGAGTCGGCGTGCCCACGCTGTGCAGGGGAGCGCCTCAGAGCTGACGGGGACAGAAGTGGAGGCCGATTGCTGGCGGGTGCAGGGGAGGAAGGAGCCCAGGAGTGCACCCGCACGGCAGAGCTGTCCCTGTGCCCCAGTCCCCCCCTGTTCATCCCCGGCCAGTGTCCCAGCAGGGGGGGTGGCAGCTGAGACACCAGCAGCAGGTCCAGACCGCGCCGTCTGTCTGTCCGCAGCCAGGGCTGCGTTGGGCTGTTTGGCTGCAGCCCGCCCCAGCAAAGTGAGGGAAGTGCCCCCAGCACCAGCATAACCAGCAAGGCGCCACCATTCCCAGCCGGTGGTTTCGTGGTCTTTTCTCTTTCTGAGGACTACACAGCGCTCAGCTTTCTCAGGGTGGGCCCCGTGTAACCGGCACACTCTCACCTCGTGGCGAAAGTGGTTCTTGCTCACACAGAAACCACAAACCAGGGAAGCTGCGAATGGTTTTGGTTTTGCTGTGAGCACAGCCCCTTAGTCGAAGCTTTTCCTATCTGAATTCCAGCCTCCTGATGCGAGCAGCAGCAAAACGCTTTGCAGCCTGGTATGGGCACTGCTGCCTAAACGAGGGGCCTGGGCTGCCTGGGAGGCTCTCCTCTCCTCTCCTCTTCTCCTGCATAGCGTTTCTGGAGACCATCAGGCAAAAAGCCATTTTCTGGCTTCCTACCTCACACTGTTCCAGTTAGTGTTTCTCCTCCCAAAGCCCCGTGCAGCACGCCGTGCCCCAGCCCCATTCACCCGCTGCGCTCGGGGCTGTGACACTGGTGCTGCGCCCACGCCCTGTGCAGCCCTGCCGGGCTTGCAGGGACCGAGGAGCTTGGATCCTGGTGATGGCTCGTGTTGAGTTTTTGCCTCCAAGCATGGCACGCAGCCAGCAAAGCACTCAGAGGAGTATCACCCATGTGCCCCTGTGCGGTTTCGGGGATGATGAGCCTCTCTCCCCCAGAGGAAGAAGGCTGCTGGGATGATATTACACCGCTGTCAGCCTCTGCAGACGTGTACCAAAACACATAAATAACCCTGCCGAACAGGCAGACATTGTACAGGCAACGTGTATGGCTGTAGGTGTGGGGGAAGAGCTGGGTCTGTGCCTGCAATGCACAAACAGGTCTGACACGTCTCCCCACGAGAGGCTTTGCTGCGCCATGCTAGGAGTGCTGCTGCGGGGACAAAGCGGCCCCTCGTTCTGCTGGGCCAGGGGTGGGCTCAGGGGAAGGAAACCCTGTCCGAGGGCACCACCCCAGCTTCCCCTGTGTGAGCATCCCCAGTACCCGCAGCGCAGGCACCAGGAGCTGCTCGTGGTGCAGCTCCAGTGCCAAAAGCTCCGGGGCAGTGCACGTGGCAGCGAGCTGCACGCTGCAGGTGCAGGGCTCTCACTGCTGAGTTCTCACCGCTGCTGCCCTGTGTGGTGCCAGCGGGCAGCAGCCTCTGCACAGCCCAACCTGCTCCAGGGAACCCACCCTGGTCTGTCCATGGCCTGCAGGACCAATCTGTTGCTAAATGCAGGCAAACATCTGTGTTGCACCATGTCCTTTACCCCCCTCACATTCCAGCTAAGAAAAGGGGAATGGCCAGAAAATGTGGTATCACGGCATTTCACAGACATCTGCACCTCCCGGCAGCAGCTGGGATGCCAGCACCTCGCTTACCTGTTGTAGAGACGAACGAAGCGAGCTGCAGGGAGCTGACATGGCTGGGCAAAACCCACAGAAACCACAAGCGACTCCATTCACCGTCAGCATGACCTGCCAGTGCTGACTGCCGCCAGCCTGAGCATCGCACGGCCCAGGGCTGCGTGTGCGGGCTGGCGGCACCCACCGGGGGCAAGGGGGTGCCCCAGGGGTGCCAGGAGCCTCTCCTGGGGCAGGAGACGTTTGAAAGCTCCTCTCTTGCTGAATGCAGATAGCTGCACTAGGGGAGTTTGAGCAGGATGCAAAGGGGGAAGGGAAGTGAAGTGAGGGAAACCAAGTAAATTACACAGAAAATAGCAAAAGCAACAGAAAGCCAAGCAAATTCCGCAACAGACCTGATGGGGGATGAGTCGCTGGACGTAGAGGAGGTGGGCATAGGACTTGATGGCGCGGAGAACATGGGCCAGGACGGTGAGAGGGGTGACGTTGGGCTTGGATTCTGAGGGCTGCAAGACATAACCAGATACCTTATCAACGTGCAACCACAGAAACAAACAGCAACCGAGAGACAGGCAGACGACATCCGACGATAGCGAGTGCCTTGGGAATATTCAGAGCATGAGACACAGCTACGAAATGAAGTGCCAAGACCTTGGGAAACGTTTCAAGGCCAGATCTGCATTTCTCTGGACAACAAGAGCTGGATCTTCCAGTTAACCCCTGCTCCATCGCCACAGCCAGGCGAGCCCGACACCTCGTGTGCGGAGGGCTGTCGGGCTGCTCGCTACTGCTGCCTTCCCAGCACCTTACCTGCTTTGGTTTGATTCCCCACTGCTGCCAGAAAGGGCTGACTGCATTTCCATACCTGAATGAGGCCTGTGAGCAGCCTCCACGCTCCATTTTTATTTTGGTTGCTGCCACGTCTGGCTCTAGAAGGTTCTTCTCTGGACCACCACCTGCAGTGCCAGGCACCGCTGCCTGTTTGCATGTCTCAGAGGGTCCCAGCTGCACCCCCTCAGCAACGAGCAAAGCCAAGGCAAGGACAACAAGGACAACCTGCCTTCTCCTGGCAGAACGAGGTGAGAGAAACCAGCCACAGGGCACTGGCTGCAGGGGCTGTGTCTGTGCACACCCCCTGAGCACACTGGGGTGCACCCATCATGGGGAGCACTGGGACCCCGCTGTGAGCCGGCTGCTTCCGCGGCCACATCACTGGCTCACGTCGAGGTGACTGGTGCTTCAGTGCTCCTGTGGTGCTTATAAAATGGCAGCACTGTAAAGGTTTAATTGCTTTGTTTTCATGTTTTACATCGAGGAGCTCTCTTCCCCTCATCCAAACTGCTCTTGACGGTGAGCTCTAGGTTCTCCGCTTCCCCTTTAAGCTCCTGCCGTCAGCTGAAGTCAAATCAAGTTACTGGACTAGCAATTGCATGCAGAAGTCGAGTGAGAAAAGTCTGTTTCCTGCAAAACTGTTTTATTTAGGTCATTTTCAGGTTCACTGAAAAGCAATTATTGTACTAAAACACCAGTTTGAGTCTGATTCATCTTCTACCGTTTGTATGTTTTTCAACTCATCTGTATTCTCCATCTAATTCAGATCGTAAACTCTGTCCCCGATAAAACACCAGAAAAAATTCTCAGCACTGCAAATGCCCCGTAAAAACAAGAAGTTTTTTAAAAGCAATCATGATTGATGCCTAGTGGCTCAGAGCAGGGTGGCACCCCTGGTCAGCAGGCCTGCGATGAGGCAGGGGCATGGTGCGGCCTGCGGGCAGGCCCCAGCCCAGCCCGGCCCTGTCCCCGTTCCCATCCCCGGGAGGGATGAGCCAGGCTGAGGCCACCCGGGTGGCTCCTCCACCCAGATGCCTCCAAAACTTTAATAAAAAGATGAAGTCTCCGTATAACGGGTGATGGGTTAGCCATAATCCTTCAGTAACTTTGAGATCCCAGCAGCAGAAGGTCACTGCTCTGGGGCCTGGCGGGCTCCCGGGCCTACCCGGAGCTGAAGGGACAACTCAGTCGGTTTGGCCCAACTCCTAGGGAGAAGGTGGCCGAGTCATAAATACCCCACCACAGCTGGCTCCGAGAGGACACTACAGAAGGTTACATTTTTGGCCTGAACTCCCCTGCAGTCCGTATCTGGTTAAGGGCAAACTCTTGGCTTCTCTGCTGCCTGCAGAAGCCGTGGCACCGAATCGAACAGAAAGCAACCACATCCCCGTGGAGCTACAGGCAACTCCTTTATTACATCGGAGGGTTACAGGGGTACAGACATACAGCAGGGCATCACAGCTTGCACCGAGGGTTGTCATACAACGGGCAGAATACTAGCAGGAATCCTCAAATAATTCACCTCATATTTAGTGTTCACCCCGCTCCTCAGACCTAATCAACGTCCACATCATAATTATCGGTATTATATAATATATAATACAATCTTTTTGTATTTTTCTATCAAAATCGTCAGTCCTAGAAAAATAGGTAATTACCTGCATAAGTTAAGCTTTAACAAAGCTGCTAGACGTTTGTGTTTACCATATAGGAAGCCTATTTCCAACTTTTAACAGAAGGAGGTGCTACAAAGACCACCGAGTTATCCCAAATCGCAGAAATTAACCCTTGATGCGCCAGTTCTTCCTGCTTCTTTTTCTTTCCAGCAGGCATAGTTGTCTGGTGATCTGTGACGATGTCCTACCTGCCCTTAACACAAGAAGTTTTGTAGCACACAGGGCAGGTAATTTGGTTTTATTTTATCTGTGCATAAGCATGCTTCTGCCCTCTAATGGAGAGAGCATGTTAGATCCATTTGAAGACATGGAGGGCCCAGTTCCTCTGGGCATCAGGAACCAGAACATCTCCGCCACTGTTTGTATTGCATGAGGAGCCGGTATTTTGGAAGCCAAAGTCCGTTGGTTGTTAATACCTGTATGCAACGACTGCTGGCTCTATGCAGCCAAGCTACCGTGCAAGCCTCTCAGACGGTGCACGTCTGCAGTGCAAACGGAACGAGGACGTGTGGGGCTAGCACCTGGAAGCAGAGGGCCTGCTGGCTGTGCCCTTCATTGCTCCATGGCTACTCACCATTCACGCAGCCTCCTCCATCCTGGTGATCCCAAAGAGCTCTTCAGAGGTGCCCGTGACCTGCTCCATACATGGACTTACCCTTCACAAGAGACACGGACCTCTCAGCCCCCAGCCCCTGCTTCAGCGAGGTTCCATCTTCAGGGCAGGATGAGTCCTAAGACAGCTTGGACGCCTCCAGCCGCCAGCTCCTCTTCTTGCTGGTGACAAACCCGTCAGGCAGACGTCCCCAAGGGACCACAAAGGCCCCAGGCAGGGCAAGATAGAGCAAGCAAACGCACAGCGTAGCCTTTTCCACAGAGGAGCTTTGCCCGTGGCTGGGAGGAGCCCTGGAGCAGGGTGGTGACACAGTGACCGAAACACAGCCAGGCTTATCCCCCTGCCGGCCACCAACACCAGCAGGTGGCCCTGCTCCGTGGGCAGCGGGCTCTGGGTGCAAGAGGACCTCTCGCTGGGTGCAGACGCCGGGCAGCCTCCACCAGCGGCCCCCGCTGCTCCTCGCTGCATGGTTGGAAGGGCACCCATCCAACTGCAGGGGCAATGGGACCACAAATTCCCAAGATGCGTTTTGAGATGAAATCATTTTAAAAGAATGCAGCTCCTGCTACTTGCAGAAGTCAGCTCTATCACAGCCTCACCGACTGTTCAGTCTACTCTGATTACGGTGCATAATGCAATCAAATGATTCTCGTTCAAATGAGAAGAGAATTACTTCTGCAGTGTTGCAGCAAGAACCTGGCTCTCAGGCCAGCCTTTATCTAAGAAGCTATCAATAATTTGCAGCAGGATTTTGGTAGCTTTGGGTTCTGGGTGGCAAAGAAAACACTCTCCATGCCCACCAAAACAACTGAGAGATACATTAAATAATGACATCATGCAGGTCCTTAAGTATGAAGATGATCCTGTTTCAATCGGGTTACTCACAGATGAGATGGTCCCATGATGACTGAGCCACCTCTGCTCACCTCGTCATCTCCCTCTGTAAGTTTTTCCAGTGCATTGCCTCAGGAAGAACAAATGGACTTCTCAGGATCCTGCCTGAGCTGGCCCTCCCGAGCGCCTACAGACCTCGTGTCTGTGATGAGCACCAAGGGCTTATCTCCTTCCAGTCAAACACTGGCATTTATTTCCAAAGATACTGCTCAAGTATCACCTTGCTGAGTTACGTGATTGCAAGGCCTAAGTCCTGTTTTGTTGGATGGAAGTAAGAGCACTCGAGTGATCAGACTAAAGAGGCCTCTGTATCTGGAGAACCATTTTCGTGTAGGGTCCAATTTCCTTTCTGTTTCTCATGGCAATAGCAGAGGTGGTGATGGACTTTTTGGAAATGTTGGCTGCTGCCTGTTGTCTGCCGAAAGTAAATGTCATCTGGACCTGTTTTTTCCCTTCTTATTATTCTTGAGGACTTTGCGAGGGGCTCTCCCTGTTGAGTGCATAGTGGGAAACAAAACAGAAAAAAAAAAACAGCTGAGAACCAAAAATACCAGAAGCAGGAAACAAAGAAATGGCTAAAATTAGAGTCTTCAAAGCAGCTTTAGGCAAGCAGAAGCAGCAGAGGGAACTCCGTCAGTCAGTAGCCCACAACGTGCCGAGGCTTTCGCCTTTCCTTCTGGCCCCTTCTGCAGCCCCGCGAGGCGCAGGGCGGTGTGAGGAGCTCAGGGGGTGGCAGCAGGACGGAGGAGGTCCCCAGTGCCCCTCGGGCAGTCCCACTGCACCCACAACCAAGCAGGGATGAGTGGAACGAAGCCTCCTCCTCGCTTCCCGTGGCTGCGGCACATCTTGGCTTTCCGTTCCGAAGCTCAGCTTGTTGCCTGAGCATGCAAAAAACACAGCGCTCCTTGCTTCCAGACACTGCTCTGCTTTCCAGTCGCTGGACCTAAAGAACTTCTTTTCTACCCCCTTCTCTTACCTCTCTTTTCTCCCCCGTTCTCAGCAGTCTGCCTGCCCAGACTGTCTCTGGCATTTTCTTTACACTTCTCAAGTCCTGCAGGCATTTACAGGGCTGAAGAATTCTTCTCAGCAGGGTTTCCAGACAGCTTTTGCTGCTTTGTTCTTTTGGCTGAGAGGACACCAGTTCCACTTAAAAAATGTTTACAACTTGTTTATTTTTGTGGAACTCAGGGCTATTTCTGGCACAGAACATCTAACATCTATGAATGGGCACAGTCTACCAATGAGCTAAAGCCCTTTGATGAAATCACCTCAAGAATAAACACAATATTCCCATCCTGACGTTATCAGTACCTGACTGCATGCAACTAAACCAAGAACCACCCACCCCTCGATCTTCTATTCCTATAAAACAAAGCTGCTCTATGTAAAGCTCTTCTCAAAGCTCACCAGAAAAAAAATATTACAGCATCATTTAATGCCAGGGCTCTTAAACTTGCTAACACAAGGCCAAGATTGCAGCTCCCTGGTGGACACGGCCCTGTTGCCTAAAAGAAATAGGAGGCAGCTTTGGGCAGAGAAGCTCATGAAGTTCATGCAGCGCTGCACATCCCAGCAAAGCATGGAGCACAGAGCCAGATGGGCTTGAGCGAGCAGCTCTCCAGGCTCTGGCTGTACTGCAGGTTAGTGATGGCACCAAGCACGATCCTGTACATTACCATGAGCCCACAGGCTTCTGACTGGTAGGATTCTTCCTCTCTTTGGTGCTTTAAATGCAAGAAAAATGATGCCAAAGCTCTCTCCGGTAATATTCTCTCAGGAGTTAGCTGGTTGTATACATAACTTGGGTGCAAATCAATGAGACTTAGGGAAATAAGCAGCCAGAATACATTGTGGGCAACATCACTTGACCAAATAGGTCCAAAACAGTTCAGCTTCTTCAGCATGGGCTTTTCCACATCTCAATTTATTACTTCCTCTGTCTCGATGAGCACAGCTTACGTGATCTTCTTTACAGTAATCTGGAAGTGTCTCTCTGTAATCTTCAAGACACCCAGCACATCGGTTTGTCCTGTCACTTTGCTGCTTGGCTTATTTCCCATAGAGAGAACGCTATGGCTGCTTTAGGAACGTTATACAGCATCTAACAGCTTTTCCACTTGAATAAGAAGAGAGGTTGGGAAGAGTTCTGCCTTTGGGGAGGAGAGCTGGAGGTTTTGTTGTCCCACTTAACAGACGTTTCCATTTCCAAACACAGCTTATACTCAGCGTTTCACAGTGATGCAATGACATGGCTGGTTTGGTGCAGCCTTCTGGCATGCAGCTTAGCGACTGATGCTACTGCTGGAGAAAGGTTGAGTGAATAAGCAAAGAATCAGCAATGGATGCATGTTCAGCATGACTAAGCGCAGGGAGGCACCGCGGGAGGAACCTGCTGGAGCGGGCGGACACTGGCACAGCCCGTGGGAAGGTTTTGTCCACAGCGACGGGGTCCAGGCGGTGGGAGCACCGTGCTGGGTTGGTAAGGAGCAGCTCCTCAATGGGAGCCCAATTTCACATCCAAAAATCAGCAGTGCCACCAACCTACCTGCCACTGCTCCGATGGGAATGGGGAAGGCAGGGGACATGGGGAACGCACGGGTCCACGCTAACACAGCTCCAGGGCCTTGGTGGCACCTAGCCCCAATCTGCATTCGCACAGAGGCTGCACTTTCTGCTCCACAAATAACCCCTCCCTGCTTCCTCCCCGCTCAGAAGGCTCTCAGCAGACCTCACAGTCAAGCCAGCAGATTTCATGTTGAACCAAGTGCGTTCAAACTGTGTTTGAGCTCTGAAGTATTAATAGAAAAGATGTGCTGTGCCAGTAGGAAGCCAAAGAGCAGTTTAGGACGGAAGTGCTGGTAAATCAGGAGCCAGCATCATAGTCACATCTTTTCCACCACGCCACTGCTTCTAATTCATGAGGTAATTCTGCAAGTCTAGATGCATTAGTCACCAACAAATTGTACTCACACTTAAGGAGAACTCGACAGGCCTCCAGAAGCTCTCATTTTAATCTGGCATTCCATCCACTGCCATCTTACGTCCCCCAGGAAAGAAAATTCTCCCATCTGCCACCCCGGCTACCATAAGGGATTCTTGCAAAACGAAGGAAATTGAAGTCCCTGGGGGATCACAGCCCCCAGGTCAGTGCACCACGACCTCCCAGCCTACTGACCAGCCTCAGCACCTCTGCGGGCAGTCGAGGTGAAGATGCAGCTTCTTCTCCCTTCCCGTTAATCAAACACAGTGAAGACAAACAAATGCAATTCACTGTTTTTTGGTAGGCTGTTTCTGCACTTCCATTTGGGACATTTCACGTGCTCCCCCGGGTTCCCCTGAGGGATGCACCCACTGCTGTGTCCCTGGCGGAGTCGCCCACCAGGTCTTGGACACCTGCAGGGATGGAGACCGCAGGTGCTGACCCCACATTAGGATTACACCATTGCACATGGAAGAGTCTGACTCTTGCAAAGAGCCTGAAAAGCAACTTGTAGCATGTGAACCACAAGCAAAGCAACAGGAAGACAAAAAATATTAAGCCACTTCTTGGGCTCCCACACTGAAAAGCTACAGATAGGCTGGAGAGAGACGATGCAGTGACGGGGTGACTGGCTGGTGTCGTTACCTGGAGAAGCAGCAGCTGGAGAGCGAACCAGCATGGGCTGCAAGAGCTCCAGATCCTTTGTGGTCCTCAACCAACAGCACGGGCTCAGCCTTGGCTTTGTCAAACAGAAACCTGTCTGTGGTACAGGAACCCCTGGGCCTCCAAACGGAGGTAAACGTGCCTGCAGGAACCCTGCGGGACTGTGGATTCCTGCAGAGCCATCGGGGAGGCAGAGCACACATCCCGCTGCCCCCCGAAAGGCTGGTGCCACCGGAGAGCATGGGAGGCATGCGGCTGCTGGAGCTCCGTGGCAGCCACCACCACCACCACGGCATCCACCAGCACCACTGCACAGATGCCCCAGCTATGCTGTGAGAGGGCAGAAAGCTCCCAGCCCCTGGGAGCTCCCTGGCGAGGCCACAGCTCCGTGTGCTTGCTGGAAGCCCTCTGCTCTCTCTCCCCGTGCCCAAGGGCTCCCGCTCCTCTCCCCGCTCCCACCCGCAGAGGGGATTCTTCCCTCCTGCTGCTTCCGTCCGTGCTTTTCTACAGACAACAACAAAAGATGAACGGGTGCTCCTTCCCCTGGGATTTCCTTCCCTGCTGCCCGCCGAACCCAGCCGGGACCCCTCAGGACGCCCAAGGCTGCTCCCAGCCCAGCCAGCAGCCTCGCGGCACGGCGCAGGGCGAGGAGGGGGAGCGATGCCAGCGCGCGGGGGCCGGCGAGTAATTGGCCGCGGTTCTTATGCTCCCGATAATTTCCCAGCTTAGCACAGCCCTGTCAACAGTGTCTGCACATCGGCTTGTGCACGGCCAGAATGCAGCTGGACGGAAAGCGGGCGAGGGCCAATTAATCGGTGGGCAGGATCCCTTACGGCGGCAGAAAGGGCCGCGCTGATCGTGTTACCTCCGCTTCATGTCGAAGTGGCGGCCTTACGGCTCCGGCTAATTTATGAAGTTAATTAGGCACCGGGATCTTCTTTCAGAGGGAGACAGGATGTCTTTGTGACTGAGCAGCCCTGTTCCCCCCCCTTGCCCTGGGGGGGAAATTGTCAGCTTTTTGCTGAGAAATCGGATCCCTCAGGAGGGGCACGGCCGCCCGCGGGGGTGGTCCCCATCCGCACCCCGCTCACGCAGCCCGGCCGCTGGCGATGGGGAGCATGGGGAACACGGGGAGCACGGGGCCGTTTTGTGCCTGTGTGGCACGGCTGGGAAGCGGTGCTGCCTCCAGAAAGCAGTCCCACATTCATCAAAAGGCTTTTACAAGGGAAAGTCTAGGCTGCATCCTTGGTTTTGAATTGAATCTGCCGGCAGAAAGAGGAACCAAAGAATGCATTCAGCTGTGCTTTTTTCTAAATATTTTGTCTCTAGTGACGTTTATAGGTGGCAGAGAGACCTAATTTACTGCCATTTTGCTTTCAGCTGGCTCAATAAAACTGTTGGCTAGGATCGCGCTTGTGAGACTCAGCCCAAAAGCCCCAGCCCAGCACGGGCAGAGGCACTGGAGGCAGAGCCGAGCTGTGCAGGATGGACCCGGCTGGGCTGGGAAAGCACTGCACGGCCGGGAGAGCAGCCCCTGCACCAGGACCCCGAACCAGGAACCAGAGGGGAGAGGGAAGGAGAAAGGCAGGAGAGGAAAAGGCGAGAAAGAAAGCAAGATGAGTCTGAGATCTGCCCATCAGCTCCTAACAGCACACACACTGTTCTGTTAGCTGCCCCGGGGAAGGCTTTGTTGTAGCATCTTTGATTCCTGCATCCATTTCCCCACAATGGCCTTAATGTATTTTCAAATACCGCTTTATTTGAAAGTAAAATTTCCATTAGCCAATATTTGTCTGAGGCAGTTTCTTTGAAGAAAATACAGCTATGCAGCTATCTCCACACTAATTATATGAATTAAGAAAGCAATGAAAGTGCAATGTCTGTATTTTCTTCCCCAGGCTTTCAAGAAAGCTGTCTTTTAAGCATATGTGATGCTGAAGTCAAAGGCACTTTTTTAGATCTCTTGGAGGGAGTTGTACAATTCTAATTTAATTCAGTTTGCGAGAAGCACCCTTAGATGTTCCCAGAGCAAATCACATAAACAGAGCAGCGCAGTTCAAAAGCAGAAACTTCTGAAAAGTCTCCTGGGAGGCAGCTCTGCAAAAAGCTGCGGAGAGCAGGAGGGAGGTTGGAAAGAGCTGCAGAGAGGCCTGGGGAGAGGAGCCTGTGAAGAGGCTGTCTGTCTGTCTGTCTGTCTGTCTGTCCATCTGCGAGGGCCCGCACGCCCTGCACAGGCAGTAACGTCCCCAGGAGCAGGCTCCAGTTAACTCCAAAGCTGCGGATTCAAAGCAACCACATACTTCATTCCTGCTGAGCAAAGGAAGGGAGGTTTCTGCCTGCATTAGCGAAAAGGAGGCTTGACCCGACAGATTATCTTTGCTGTAATGGATGACCATGCAGAAAATATTTTGACGTATGACTGATGGTTCACATGGGGCTAGCCACAAAACTGGAGACTTTCTTTGTAAGAACATTTGGCCAAATTTTCAAGTTCAATTTGTGGAAAGTTTCTAGTCCAGGAGCCAACTGAAAACTGAAAGAGCTAAAGCTCTGAAAAGTTGTTATGCCAAAGTCTTGGGCAAATGAAAAGCCCACACAGCAGAAAAACAGATAAACCATCCATCTTCGACCTTTTCCTCCTGCGAGCCCAAAGCAACAAGCCCACGGAGCAGAGATGCTGGGAAAGCTGGCGGCCTTTCAGCGCTGGACTTTTCCTCTCGACCAAGCAGCCGTAAATATCCCTCCTCAAACGAAAGTTTGTAATTTCCCTCTGCCCTCCCAGAACAAGATGACTGCTCTTGTGGCCTACAGGCATCTTTCTTTTACACGTATCTGAAAATACCTCATGGAAGCGCACAAATGCTTCTAAAATAAATCCAGGATTATTTAAACACAACCTAGGAAAGAATTATGAAATACATACAGATAAATACACATGCGTGCGTGTGAATTAGATATATGCAAGTTCTAAATCGTATTGCCATCAGCAACTGGGCCTCCCCCACATTTATCTGTGGAGCCTACTGAGTATACTGCTTGTATTTTTCATGAACCGGGTTTGAAGATGTTTGCCAGACCCTTGAATCACTGCAGCTTATGGAGCTCCGAACTGCAGGCAGAGTCCGGGACTCCCAAGTTAAAGCTGCTTTGCGAAAAACACACAGCCACCCTTATAACAGTCTGAACCAAAAAAAATAAATAAGTCATGAGATAGCTGGAATATTATGTCATCTGGAATAAGCCAAGCAGCAGACTGGGAACTTGAGGATCTGTTCTGAAGCAGGAACACCAGGAGAGCCGCGTTCCTGCTTGGAGCGGTGAACGAGCCCTGCTCCTCCCGAGCCCAGGCCGACCCCATGGCCGAGCCACACAGCACTGTGCCCCTGGGGCCGCCTGCCCAAATCCCCTGCCCAACACACAGACACGGGGTGGGCACAGGGCAGTGCTGCTGGCACCGGTGCAGCTGTGGAGGACGAAGCAGGGCGCACGGTACTGCTGCTCAGCGGGGCTCCGTGCCAGCCCCGGCCGGGTCGGTGCCCACCCCGCGGTGCCACCCGGTGAGCCTCCATGGAGACCTCGTCCCTAGCCTCGCTCTCCTCATGTTGTAGTACTTCCCATGACCCCAAACAGAAGGGAAACAATGCTCGTTTGGGCTCAC